CTAGGCACTTTTGTGACCTTGGTTGTGACCACTCATCTTAAAGTGGTCAAGTTTGGACAACACTGGTTTAAACCAATGGATCTGCCTTTATCACAAGCTTAACTTTTATTGTCTGTCCCAAACATTTAACAAACAGGATATTCTTCTTGTTTCAAGAAGAAAACATACTCATCTCATTCTCAAGTTCTCACAAAAGGTTTACTTTTAAAATGTATAAGACTACACAGTTTGGATTATGCAAAAACATTCACAACTCTGTGCATGAGCAGAACAACTATTGAAGGAATACTACAGACTGCTGCACCTGCACATGAGGACTCAGTGAATAATCACATCACGCCAGACAAAGGATGCACTAGAATTACCCACTCAAACCAGTAAAGACTGTTAGAAGGAGAGAAATCTTTCACAGATTTGGCAGGCAGCCTCTATTCACTGTGGGTGAAGGCTGTGGACCCACAGGAGAATTTGATGATTTAATCAGCTGATTTCCCCAGGGCCCACTTGTGTGCCTCATCACACGCCTCAGAGAATTATTGCCCTAACTTCTACTGAAGAGGCCAGCAAACTATTAGATTTTTTTTCTAATCAAAGTAACCTCCCCAATCAATGATAATTACCCGTGAGAAAGAGAAAGAAGTATTTTCTGAACACTACAGTGAAACTGGATTTCCATTAGCCAATTATTACTTTGTTCACTGCTAGTATTTCACAAATCCATCAATCATTTCAATATCTGGATGGAAACTATAGCTAAATGTGACCTAAGGCCATTCTTAGATTTCTTGCTGTGAAATGAACAAGACAAAACCATTGGACAAAAGCAGGAACTGTTTTAAAATGCCTTTTTGCCATGATATTGCACTGTTTAGGCTACTTTGACTATACATTCAACTAGGAAGTATGATATAGGAAGACCAAACCCAACATAGGACAATTTCCCTATACAGTGGTACCTCTAGTTACGAACGCCCCTCCTTAGGAATTTTTTGAGATACGACCAGCTCCGGCCCCAAAAATTTACCTCGACTTGCAAACTCGCCTCGACTTATGAACCGGATCCGCAGCCATTTTCTGCCTGTTCCACGTGGTCCGCGGCCATTTTTCCGCCCATGCCACATGGTCCACAGCCATTTCCCGCCCATTCCACGTGGTCCGCGGCCATTTTATGCCCATTCCACGTGGTCCGCGGCCATTTTTCCGCCCGTTCCACGTGGTCCGCGGCCGTTTTTCCGCCCTGCTGTGTGGTCCGTGGCCTTTTTCCGCCCTGCCGTGTGGTCCGTGGCCATTTTTCCGCTCCTGACACGTGGTCCGCGGCCATTTTTCCGCCCTGCTGTGTTGTCCACGGCCGTTTTTCTGCCCCTGACGCGTGGTCCACAGACGCCGGAACGGATTAACAGTAATTACATTGAACCTTAAGGGAAAATTTGGCTCGTGTTGCGACCAATTCGAGTTGCAACCAGAGTCACGGAACGGATTAAATTCGTAACTTCAGGTTCCACTGTACCTTTCCTGTGGCTCTAAAAAAGCTGCTTCAGCATTATGGGAAAGGAACAATGCTGCCAAAACATCTACATGAATATTTAAAATATATTGATTCTGCTGTTGTTTCTGATGTGCTATCTTAAGCTTATCCTTAAAATGATTGGTATAGATACTCCAAGCAACCATACCTTCTGGGGGTTCAGAGACTGGTGGGTTTAAGCAATACATATGGTAACCACGGTCACAGTCATCACAGAAGAGCAACTGGTCCTGATCCAGAATTGTTGGGGGGGGGGGAAGAAAAAACATTGACATTACTCAACTATAGAAATGTAATCATGCCCATTATTGTATTAAAAAGATGAATGTGTAATGATAAGGTATCAAAGAGCACATCAATGAATATGGATAGAGAGACTTTCTACAAACACTTGCTTTGTCCTACATTGTCATCATAACTAACTTGCCCATTGAAATGTGCATTTCAAATAGGAAAAAAAATCTAGTCACAGAACCACTAATAACATTCAACCCAACATGCCTATGCCGTGGAGATGTTATGATCTTCCCTCTCATCCTCAAATGCCTTCCAGAAAAGAGACATTTTCTGAATAAGTCTCAGTAAGAAGTGGGTGGGCCAAATATCCAAGGGTAGGCTACTCCAGAGGAGGAGGCCATCACCTAGAAGAGGTCCTGGCAGATGACATTCCCTCAGTGAAGGGGCTCTCAGCAAGTCTTCCTTCTCTGATCTCACCAGATGGGCAGATTCAGCCCAGATCCTGAGCCACACAGAATTTTAAAGGTGATAACCAGCACCTTAAATTGCTCCCCAAACTAACTGGTAGCTAATGTAGCTTCCTTAGTAGTCTTTTCACATGAGCGAAATTTGATTTGCCCATAACTGCCCAGGCTGCTGCATGTAGAACCAACTGCCAAATAGTCTTCAAGAGCTGCCCTACATAAAGTAAGCTTCCTGTTCCGTGAAGAACTACAGCTGGCACACAGATATAATTGTGCAAAGCCCATCTTAACCATGGCCTCCACTTGCTGTTCTAGAGTTTGCTGGGACCTCTAAACTGCACATCAACTCAGTCTGGGAGAGTGCAACCCCCTCTAGAAATAATGATGGACTATCTCTGGAATCCACAGTCATTTCATCTTGCTGGGATTAAGTCTGATCCTGGTTTTCCTCATCCAGATCCAAACAGCCTCCAGGGACTGGGTCAGGACCTCTACAGTATTTTCTGCCTGGCCCAAAGTGAAGATACACAGCTGAATATCACTGGCATATTGATGATATTTCATCCCGTGTTGGTAGATTACTTCTCTCAATGTCTTCATGTACATATTGCTCAAAGCATGTCAGGTCTAGCCCAAAGAACTCCAAGAGACGATGCAAATTCAGTTCCACTGTGTTTATTAGCTACAACCCCTAGACAGAAATCTCCCCAA